TTTTTGGCTTGGCAACAACCAGATTGTCTTCAAATGAATTTGTTTCTACTACTAAAATGTAAGTACACCTGCTAAGGGCGTCAACGTGTTGCATTCTGTTTCCTTCCCTATGTATTAGATCGTAGTCATAATTTTTGTAGCTATATTCTAGCTATACTCCGCGTACAGTTCAGTTCGATTTTATTAAGTGTTAACGTGAGAGAGTTACAGTCAGTTATAATCTTGAAACGTCAACCAAATAAAATAATGGGCATGGTTTCAAGCTCAAAACTATGGTATTTCGATTCAGCAATGCTTGTGCGTTTGGAAAAATAAAAAATGGGGTGCAATTTTCCATCTTCTTTTATTTGGAGTAGTACGGCTCCAAAACCAAGAGAGCTGGCATCTGGCAATGTAGCTATACTTCGTCTTTGTGGTTATATAACACTGGTGCTTCAACTAACTTATTTTTAAACATCATAAAGCAGCTCATTTCCTTTTCTGCAAAATGGAATTTCTCGTCTTTGGCTAGAGTCTAGAAATCGCAAATAAGAACATAAGCTCAAAACTCTTTGAACATGTTGTGTTTTGTCCGGTATCGGAAAATTTTTAATTGCCTATATTCCTTTATCATCAGCTTTAATGCCCCCCGCCTTTTAGAATGAAACCCAAATATTAAATACTTTGTGGTAGGAACTCATATTTATCCATACGCAGTTTAGCAGTTTTTAGCTAGTCTGAGAAACATCTCCTTTAAAATCTGAAAATGTTCATCAACATCTTTGCTGACGATCAAATTGTCGTCCTTGTACACAATTACTTGATTCTATCTACTCAGGTCATCCAAAATTTAATTTATAAATCTTTGAAAAACTGCTAAAGCCGTTTTCAGACCCGTTGGCATTCTAAGGAATTCAAATTGTCCTAACGGTGTTACAGAAGAAGTATATTTAATTGATTCTTTATTGACAAAAACGTGAAAGTAACCGTTTTTTAGATCAAGTTTTGAAAATAATTTTTTATTTGCTAGCTTGTCTAACAGGTCATCGATAAGCGGTATAGGGTAATTGTCTTTAATTAAAACCTTGTTAAGTTTTCTAAAGTCTATGCAAAGACGTATGTGTCCGGTTTTTTTCTTTACTAAAACTATAGGAGAAGCACATTCAGACTGGCTAGGTTAAATGATCCCGTTTTCAAAATAATCGTCCAAAAGTTTTTGCCATATTTCTTTTTCCGCATAGGCAAGCTGCCACGGAGCACAACTAAACGGTTTTCAGTTTTTTAAATTAAGTTTTATCTCACTTTTAATAACCGGCACCTTTGGTTTCTCTACCCTAATATAATTATGTTAAATTATCTCTTTTACAAATAGCCTTAAACTGGTTGAAAAAAAAATCTTCCAATCCATCCTGGCGGTAGGAGAACTACCAACAGCATGGCAAGAAACAAAGGTGGTTTTCATTCCACTCACACCACAGCAAAGGATTTTAGGCCAATAAGCCTAACATCATTCCTGCTTAAGAGCTTTGAAAGAATGATAAGCCTACACATAAGGGCCACCGTAGACCCGACCCAAATATCAGAAGCACAGCACGCTTACACCAAAGGAAAGTCTACCGAATCGGCGCTACACTTGGTGGAAAGCAGCATCGAGAAATCACTCAACGTCAAGGAATACACACTGATCGCCTTCCTGGATATAGAGGGAGCCTTCAATAACGTGCTCCCCACTGCTATAACAGAATCTCTCACAGAACTAGGGGTTAAGCCGCCAATGGTGAGGCTAGTCCATAAATGGCTGATAAGCAGAATGGTCACAGCAACACTAGGGACCTCAACCCAGACTAGACTAGTGAACAGAGGCACCCCGCAAGGAGGTGTACTATCACCCCTCTTGTGGAATATCGCAGTAAATAAACTACTGCGGATTCTGGAAGGAGGAGGTTGTAAGGTTGTGGCATACGCAGACGACGTCGCCATCATCTTTAATGGAAAATATCCGCAAACACTTTGCGATCTTACGACCGCTAAACTTAGAATACTATCGGAATGGACGATAGCGAACGGACTCGGGGTAAATCCCATGAAAACGGAACTTGTTCTATTTACAAATAGATACAAAATTCCACAACTTAACCCACCCATTCTAAACAATTGTAATCTCTCTTTTGGCGATCACGCCAGGTACTTGGGGTTAGTACTAGATAAGTGCCTCAAATGAGGCTTTAACAACCAAGAGAGAACCAAGAAAGCGACCATTGCACTTTACTCCTGTAAAAAAGCAATTGGGCTAAGATGGGGCATGTCCCCAAGAATAGTTAACTGGATATACACAGCGGTAGTCAAGCCAATCCTACTGCACGGAGTGGCTCTGTGGTGGACCGCCTTGCACAAACAATGCATACTGACTCCTCTAAACAAAGTACAGCGAATGGCGGCTTTGTGTATTAGTGGAGCCCTTCGAACCACCCCGAATGAAGCGCTGAATGCGATCTTGAACCTCCCTAGCCTGGACTTAGCAGGCATGAAAAGGGCCAAATCGGCAGATATTCGACTGAGGGACACAGGGCAGCCCAATTTTATGGCCATGCTAAAATTCTCCAGCATGATAAATCGATTCCGAAGATCACGGATCTATGCAAATCCATTGAATATAGTCACACACCCTTTGAGGCCCTGATTCGAGATAGAGAGGAGTGGGAGCAGGGCCGACCGGGCACGACGCAATCTGTTTCTATACAGATGGCTCCAAATTAGAAGGACACGTTGGTGGAGGTGTATACTCCGAACAATTAGAAGGAAGTCATTAAGGCTCCCGGACCACTGCAGCGTCTTTGAGGCGGAGGTCCACGCTATAAAAGAAGCACTAACCTGCTTAGGGAACTTTAGCCTCCAAAGAGGACACCTAAACATATATAGTGACAGGCAAGCGGCTATTAAATCGATCTACTCCACAAACACCAACTCCCGTACAATAGCAGACTGTCGCAGATATCTCCACGAGATGGCAAATCAGTTTACTATCAGCCTTATATGGGTTCCGGGTCACCGGAACATCGTAGGCAACTGCATAGCGGACGAATTAGCCAGGCAGGGCACCACCAAGCCTCTCCTCCCAGGAGAGGAGAATGTCGGTATGCCCATGGCTACTTGCAAGCTAAATATAAAAAACTACTTTAACACACTAGCCAACACCCACTGGCAAAACGCACCACAGTGTCGCATCTCTCACCAGACATGGACTGTGATAGACAACAATAAAAACCTCGGAGTTACTCAAACTCAGCCGCACAGAGTGTGGCATGTTGATTCGAGCTCTTACAGGCCACTGGCTTGTTGGCGCACATGCCGGCAGGCTAAAAGCCCCCAAATTGATTTCTGCAGAAGCTGTAGGGATGAGGAAGAAGTGGAAACGGTAGAACACCTTCTCTGCTTCTGCCCAGCCCTATGCAGACTCAGACTGAAACACTTAAGAAGCCCCTTCATCGACGATCTTACCGAAATATCGGAGATTAATCTCAAAAACATAAGTGCCTATATTGAATCTCCCGGGTGGAAGACATGCTGATCAGCTTAACACAGGCTGAAACTACTAGAAACGGGACCCTAGAGAAGGAAAAACGAGATCATGCGGTATCACAATGGACCCATTGAGGTCTAAGTGTGTCGGACTATAGTCCGACAGCCGCCCTAACCTAACCTAACCTAATCTCTTTTAATTGACGTAAAAAATCTTGATTATCATTTGTACCGCATACGATGGTTGCCTTACTAACTATAGGGTTGTCTGTATCCCCGACCGAAACACTTATTGTTCCACAATCTTTAAAACTAACTGTTTCCGTTATACAATTTTTTGTATAACTGTATGATGTGCTGCTTCGCTAAATGAATCATTAATTGAATTACTAGTTGTTTCTGTAACTGTATCACTAACTGAATCCTTTACGGATTTCACTAACTGTATCACTAACTGTATCAATTTTTAGAGGGTATAACACCTGTTTTGGCGAATGATATTGGTCTGCCAGTGTCTATGAGGCACGTCGCAATTAATGGGGTTTTAGGACTGTTGTAAAAAAATATTTGTATCTACATAACGTATTTATTTGCACATGCGCTTTTACGCTCAGGGCACTGTCCGACAAAGTGTCCAAACTTACCACACGCGTAGCACGATCCCGGCTCCCGTTTCGGTTTAGAGCAGTCCTTGGTGTAGTGGCCCCTTGAAATCCTTTGTGTCTGCAATCTTTCCGGAGAAGCGCTGCGAAGAATTGATTTCCTGCTTTCGTTCAGGTATACGGATCCCAGAGAAGGCTTTCAAAATCTGCACAGGTTCGGCGAAACATTGTATGCGAGCTTGGTCGCGCAGCCCTAGTGCTGGAATTCCTTCGATGATGTTTTCGAGGAGCTCTTTGTTGTCGAAGTTTATATCGTTGGCCAGCATAATTTTCTACTCGAAATCAGAAGCGAACTTTTCTCCTGAACGCCACTGACGACTTCGGAACGCGTTCCTCAGCTCCCCCTTTGACATTTTAGTTGCAAATGCTAGGATCAGCTGCTCACAAAGGTGGTCGGTTGGATCTAAAATGCGTGTTGCGTTTGCGTGCAGCCGAATTTGGGTATTTCCCTTTAGTTTGACAATAAGGAGCATACGAACACCAAACGAGTCCAAGTTGTACACCTGCGCAATGTTTTGCAGTTGTGTGACCCACTTACGAGCACACGAGTTGCCGTCCTAGTCCATTGTTACTTCCTTTGCCAGTGCGAGTGTTGTTGCTAGAGATTTTAAAAATTTGTTTACATTGGTAAACTGGCATTGAAATCCAAATGTTGTTGCAGTGGTAATGATGCGGCTCCATCCATTTCGGTTTCTAGCGGGGTTTCGGGGTTTGCAGCCCGAGCATATTTAACTAGTTTTTTAACTGAACGACCGTGAATTGATTTAGATCTTATCAGGCATTTTGAGTAAGAACCATTGCTGATATTGTAGAAGGTAAAATAACGAACACCGGCGACAGTTTAAGTTTATAAATTTTAATTTTTTTCAATTCCGCAACCGCTTTCCTCGAACGTATACCACAGGGTCCCGACACAATTCTCCCTTGTCCTTCTTCCCGCTCATCTGTGTGAGCGAGGTAGGTATACGTATCTGCGATCTCTTATGCTGCAGTACTCGGTAGAAAGGGATGACAATATAACGCTTACAGTTAACTTAAACTAGGCTTTCCGCTTATTGTATCGTACAGTGGGCCATGCCAGTATTAATACACTACATCATATGGCGTACAGTGGGCCATGTCAGTATTAATATATAACATCATATCTCGTACAGTGGGCCAGGCCATGTCTGTATATGTCCTACTACACATTTTTGATTTTCAAATAGCAAATTGCCCTGTTGTGGCTACAAGATGACGCTGTATATTACTTTCTTCCTTAAAACTTTCTTAAGGCGTGTCATGCCCACTATTTTTCAATAAATATAACATGTTAATGTTGCAAAAACTATTGTTACATGTTGAAGTAGAACTCTATAAATCTGAAGAGCTTTACATTTACATTACTCAAATTTCTAATAGATATTAGCCAATTTAGCACGATGCAAATAACAGAAGCCAAGTATCTTGCTTGGCCAGAAAAAGTGGTCAAGTGGTAGAAGGCAAACGTATTTTTCGACCCTTCCATAATGAAAGAACCGGTTCCGGAGTGCAGTCATTTCCGACTGGGATATCATTAGGCAAAAACACTCTGCCGCTGTCGACGTCAGCAGAGAAGTCGACGTCAGCAGAGAAGTCGACGCAGCGTCGAAGACTGTTGACGAAAACGGTCGGGCAGGAGAAAGAAACAGATATTGAAAGATTTCCCTTTTTTTTCTTTGTTATATAACAATAATTTACAGGAAAAGTGCCCCAAGAAGGATGGTGGTAGTTCCTGGTAGGGTTGAACCCCTAGATCACGAAAAAGTAATTTTTTTTAAGGCAATGTTGATCAATACTAAAATTCAAATTTTAAGCATAGTACTCAGACCGGATACGAGTTTCACTAGCTGAAAAATCTTATTCTTTGTAGTGTGACCCAAGTTTTCCAAGTTCACCCGGAATGCATGTGGCAAGGTCTTACTCTCAAGCAGCTGGATTTGTTGACAAACGGAAAACAAATAGATTGGAGCAACTTAAAAAAGAAGATTCTTCTAGTGCACAACAGTAAAATTTAAATTAATATAAATGGAATGTTTAACAAATGTTTTTTATTTATGTAAATAAGTAGTTTAAAGCATCCTTCACGTCCCACGGATGCTTCGCCATCTTTCCCGCGCCATCTGTAGTCCAGCTCTAAATCCCAAAAGGCATATTGGACCTTGAGGAAGTAAAGGTCGGATTGGGAACGGTGTTGTTCTTCCTGATGTTGCATGTAGTCGCCCAGCATCCTGGCAATGGCTGGTTATGGCTCCTCCAGCTGGGCCTTAGCAGCCGACCTCGTTTCCTCCTCCTTATAGAAGCCGGTGCGTCCTCCATCTCCGCTTTAGCTGCCAAGTAGCTGGTGGAGGTCCAGTGGTTCCTCAATGGAGAGCTCGTCGGAGATCGAGCGAAATCCCACTTGGCATATTCCTTCCCACTGGGATTCTCTAGTGGATCTCATCTCCTCCAGCACTGCAACTATTCTGCGGATTTGCTTTGTTGTGGTATTGCTTCCTGTACGTGAAACCTCACAATAATGCCCAACAGCTTGGATTAGGCGTCCTTTTTTATCTGCACAGAACTCCTGTAGGCGTTTTCCTTCCCTTTTTAATTTTTAAATTCCACACCTCTTTTGCACGAACACCGCCAAAGATTAAATTTCTTATTCTGTGGGCCGCGGCTAACGGCGTTCATCGAAATTCACTCGATAAATCTGGTATTTTTTCTGGTATTTCCTTACCTCATCTAAGTACCGAGCTGAAAAACAGATCCAACGAAAAGCGTTAGCCGCGTATTTCCCTCTCGCTCACTCCTATGGTAAGCTCGCGGTTTTCGTCGATGTGAGTACTAGGCTTTAGGCGCAATTCTGTTACCGTCCTAACAATGGCCGCGTTCAGCAAAACAATATTCATCAGTAATCAGTGATCAAGTTTGTTCGTTAAAATAGTAAAAAAAAAATGTCCTGAAAAACTCCAGTATTTGCTATTCCATTGTTTTTTTTATTGTTCCTAGAGTGAGGTTTTGACAATCAACTGTAGCATTACGCACAGCAATCATGGATATGTAAAAATCAAAAAGGCCTGAACAGTTGTAAAGAATTTAACATACTTTATGGTTTTTTTATACCCTTGCAGAGGGTATATTAATTTCAGTCAGAAGTTTGCATCGCAGTCAAGGAGACGTTTCCGACCCCATAAATAAGTATATATATTCTTGATCAGCATGACTAGACAAGTCGATCTAGCCATATCCGTCTGTCCATCCGTTTCTACGCAAACTAGTCTCTCAGTTTTAAAGCAATCGGGCTGAAACTTTCTCAAAAGTCTTATATCTTTTGCAGGTAGTATATAAGTCGGAACCAGCCGGATCGGACAACTATACCTTATAGCTCCCATAGGAATAATAGGAAAAAAATTATATATTTGGTGTTTTTTAACATATAATCTCCTAAGCTTGGGAATAACATTTATTAATTAGTTTTGAATTTCGAATTAAATTTTATCAAAATCGGACGACTATATCATATAGCTGCCATAGGAACGATCGGAAAATTGGTGGGAAAATAATATGAAACAAATTATAGCTTCGGTGTTTTCTGACATACAGTTGCGGCAACAAAAATAGCACCAAAGTGTGGGCAATTTTTCTTTCTGCTACAAAATGTTCATTTTTTGCAATATTTTTATTCTGTGTGTAAGGGTAAGTAGGGTTACATATCCTTTAACTAAAATAAAAGTGGTTGTGGGCGTAATACGGATGGTTTTTAAAACTTCGATACATTTATGAAGAAAGTAGCATAATTATGCGGCAACAAAAATAGCACTATTAACAGTTTTTGGGTATAAAACTTCATTTGCTCAGATTTGTTGGCTGTTTTTCGTTTTGTTGTATTAAGAATAAGTACTACTAAGTGAACTGGTAAAATAATGAATAAAATAGTGTTCCCAATGGGTCATTTAGCGCGCTATAATGATACAGATAGAAGTACATTTAAAAAGCTAATTTATAAAGGCAATGCAAAAGATAAGTTAAGTTGAATCGTAGAATTCCCTAAAATAATGATTAGTAGTTACCTAAAACAAGAACACAAAAGAATAGCACGCATTACGAAAGCCGCAATGACCCCATAACTGTTAAAAAGTCATGTGCATGAATGCAATTAGGTCCCGTTTTAGGCGCCTATCAAGTTGCTTTTTTTTTTAATATTTGTAAGTACATAAAAAGTTGGATATAATGTACATAAACAAAAATTATGCGCTTGACGTCCAAAAAAAAAATCTCCCTAGACTGCAGAGCATGGGTGAATTTGAAGGACTAGTCTTAAATAAGGCCCACAATAAAAGGGAAACTCTTATATGGACTGGCGGCTGAAAATTGCTCATGTTTAGATGAAAAAGACTTTAAATTCACATCAGATAACCTACATACATATCCAAAATTGAGTCCCCAATTAACATTTGCAAAGAATAATAATGGTGAAGCAAGTATCATGGTATTGGCATATTCTTATACTATAATGTTGGTACCATATCATAATGTAAACCCATACAGGATCAACATGTTCGCCTTGATAGCTCATAAATTGTGATGCAATTTTATTCGTAATATAAAACTAATTTATTTTGGAAGCTTTTCCACGGTTATAAACCAAAACAAGGAAGAACGCTATAGTCGAGTACCTCGACTATCAGATACCCGTTACTCAAAGGGAAATAAAGATATGCAAGCAGCAAAGCGAGACTAAAATGCGCCACCTACCAGCGGTAGACAGATTTAAGCGTTATGGGCGTTAGAGTGGGCGTGGCAAACTTTCTTTTTGGACCAATCGATAGGGATTGACGAGACCAATTCAGTTACAATTTTGTATCTAGCACGAAATTTGTGGGCGCCACAGGTTTTGTCGGTGTGTGGGCGTTAGATTGGGCGTGGCATATTTGCGTAACAAACTTATGCTGCGTACAGGGCTACGGAATTTAAATCTGAGATCCCATTTCTCTATACTTGATAGTTTCCGTGATATTCGCGTTTATATGTACGATTTTTTTAAGTTTGTGGGCGGTTTGTGGGCGTTAAAATGGGCGTGGCAAACTTTTGAGTCAATCGATAGGTATTGATGAGACCAATACATTTCAGTTAAAATTTTAATTTTAGCACCAAAACTGTAGGAGCCACATTTTTGGTGGTTTGTGGGCGTTAGAGTGGGCGTGGCACATTTCTGAAACAAACTTGCGCTGAGCAGGAATCTCAGGAAACTGCATGCCTAATCCCAGTATTGTAGCACTTATAGTTTCCGAGATCTCAGCGTTCATACGGACTGACGGACAGACGGATAGACGGACATGGCTAGAACGACTCGGCTGGTGATCCTGACCAAGAATATACATACTTTATGGGGTCGGAAACGCTTCCTTCTGCCTGTTACATACTTTCCGACCATAACTAGTTTTCATTGGCACTGAATTAAAAAATAATTTGTTAAATTTAAGGTGTATTTATGTATTTATATCGATCTGGCAACTCCGATAATTATATAGAGTTACCGGAGTTTGATTCATGATTCATGAAATGAAAGCGTGAAATGGCCATCGCATAAAAGCAGTATATGTTGGTTGAATATTTTAAATCAATTTTAATTTATATAAATAGAAACAAAATAATGTATTATTTTTCGCACGGAATTGTGAAAGCAAAAGGAAAGTCGCGTTTTTGCAGAGCTTCCAAAACATTTGCTCAAAAAGTCCATTAAGTCCAGAAACATAAACAAATTCTATCGGACTATAAGCCGCCTGTGGTCTGCGATCATTTAGCGGTCAAATCGTGCGTGTAATCTCCATATTTGTGTATAAAAACACCTAAAACACATTTCATTTGGTCGAAAGTGGAAAGAAAAAAGAAAGGAAACATACACACACATATACTGCAGTGCACATTTACACAAATCACTCAAACTCAAAATATACCAAAGCAACAACATAATGAATGCACCAAAGCGACTAAGGTAGCTCGCACGTCAAACACACAGTTGCTGCAACAAATTGATGCAAAATTCACGAGTCAACGGAAGGAAATCAACGTGGAACTGTTGCAGCTGAATTTGCGGAACTAAGGGAGTCACTGGGTAGAGAGTATCGAGAGAGCGAGGCCCACTTTCTCAACAATCTACATGCAAAATTTGACGCAATGAACACTGAAATACACAACCTTACGAAACGAGTGCGAGAACTGGAAACCGAGGCAAAAGAGGTGAATACACTGAAACAACAAATATTTGAACTGGATGCTCAACTGGCAGCAAAGTGCAATGCACAGGAGGTCGCGGATGTTGCATGCAACCTGCGCTGGCATCAATCGACTATGTTTCTCACTACATCTGACCCCTCCTCCGCGAGTTAGGTCTATTTTTCGAGTCCGACCGCACCAAAGAAACTCACTTGTTGACCCAGTAATAATAATAAAAATGGATCACGTGCGCGAAAAAGCTGCGCTGCTGCGGGCGGTTGGAGAGCACCGACAAACAATCAAGTCGCAGCTGAGCATACAGCTGATCGGTTTTGACTCGCCGGCATTTATATACTTAAACGAACAATTAACTAAAACAAATTATGAAATTTTTAAGCATGCCATGCGACTCAAAAAACAAAAGTGCGTAGCGGCCGTCTTTACTCGCCGTGTTAAGCCTATAACGGAGGAGAGGCTTTCTACGTGCAAAGCTCTAATGAGCTTTCTGATCTGAGTAGTGAATCCCGTGGGACATGTCCTCTTGCACAAGTGAAGAACAAGTGAGGCTCCATATAGAAGATTGTACGGGATGTCCGCATTTTCACAAGTGAAAATTCAAATGAAAATTTTTTGAAGTCCCAAGGGATTTCACT